CATTGTCTCTGATAAAGAAATTATACAGTGGTTTACACTTTGAATCATTAAACCAGTTGGCATTAAAGTCTCCAATAAATACATTAAATTCAGTTGGTAAAGATTCTAGAATATCTTTGAGTATAGTGCAAATGTCTTCTATTGATCCTGCATGTGATCTATAGATTCCCACAACTGTCACATGAAGAATGACCATGAATCTTAAAACTGTTATTTCTACACTGTTTCTGTTATCACAATATGGGTATCCTGGATAATAATCAAGACAGCTATAAACTGTTGTGCCTCCAAAAGGCCTTACATTTTGTGAACTTCTTACAGGGGCATCATTCCTAAACAAGCTGTATTTATCACCACTCATCAGATATAAATCGTCATTGCCAAATTCAATAAATCTAGTTTCAGCAAAAATATTAACATCACTACTTGAATAATTCATATCTGCACATACATCTTGCATTGAGGCAGACAATATATTGGCTTAATTGAAAGAGATAGCTGTCCTTCAATTCTTAAACGATGCATTTCTGCTTTGACATCATCACTAACAGATATGTTGTCTTCACAGAGATCTGTGACGTAAAGACCATCAATAGTTGTTACTCTACTCAACCCCACATAATGAACGTGAGGAATTGCTCTTCTTGTTTCAAAATTAACTACAACATTTGTTTCAGTATCACCCTGAGATCTATGTATAGTTTTAGCAGCAGTAGGTCTTAATGGAAACTGTTTTCTTTACAACTAGTACAGATCTTGTCCTGCCTATAGCAAACTGAGTAGTAACAGGTTTGATTGGTGTCCATGTTGGTTCAATACCCTGAACATATAACTGCCTATTATCATGTCTGGTTTTCTGACCAACATTAGGATGGTCAAACTGTACCCATATGATACCTGATGGTTTGTGTGTTTGATGTATTTGTATTAGTTTGATAACATTACCAGCACCATTAGTCATACCATCATCAGTCCTAGTATTAAGAGATATTTCAGTTCTTTCCCCTACTGCTACATGTAATATAGAATGCAACTGTTTAGTTTTTCTTGGATCATGAGGTACTTGTTTCAATATTTTATCTCTGAGTTCTTGTGYCTCAGCTCCAACTACACTGTCATGTGCTTTAGAATATTTGGTTCCTGATAGTGCATTGTGGGCTTTGTCATTGAAATTATTCACTTTTGCATTTTGAATGAACAAATGCGGTGCTTCTTTAGGATAGCTTACACTATTTGCAGAAATACATCTATCCTTTAATTTTACAATGTCTTCTTCAGTGTGATTACCTTCTCTTAATCTATTTAGTAATTCAGCGAACTCTTTACTTTCTCTTTGCCTCATTATTTGTTTGAGTTCAAACATTTTGAAAAGTTCTTRCCATAAATTAGGAGCAAGAACACCATATTCATCATTATCCATGTTTCTGAATATATACCCATCCATCACAGGCTGTAGTTGAAACAAATCTCCTATAGCAACAATACTATAACACCACCAAATGGTAGTGAGCTGCCTTTGATATCTTTGAGTCTCTTATATATTTGAACATTGAACATTGTATTCCCTACCATTGATATTTCATCAATGAATATAAGTTTAACCCCTGACATCTTATTGTGTTCATTCTATTTGAATCAAGCCTCTTATACCTTCTTAATGATTGACAGGCTGGTATTGCTAATGCACTATGAATAGTATTTCCCTTTATATTGTGTGCAGCTTTCCCTGTAGGTGCTAACATCAATACTTTTACTTCATTTAAGTTAATACCTGGTCTAGTGTTATAATACTTTTACTTCATTAAAGTCAATACCTGGTCTAGTGTTAAAATATTTCAATGCAGCCTGATACAAGGCTTTAGTCACATGTGATTTGCCAACACCTGCACCACCACTGAGGAAACAGTAAAATGGATCATCTGATGTCTTTATCAAATGCAAAACATGATAAAAGTGGAGCCCCTTTAAGCCATATTAACATGTGAATATGGGGAGATCCTCTTTGTTGGTATT